ATCGGTTTAATCTCTTATTATGAATTTTAGATATTTTCATAGGATCTTAAATTCCTAAATTTAGGAGCTACGTGAGCTTCTTGAAAAAGCTAAGCTCTGTAGAAAAACGTGCATGATAGAGTTTTGTAGCGCTAGGCTATAATTTCTAGTGTTGGGCAGTATCGATACCAAAAGTACTCAGAACTCGATTCTCAAAAGGATCGACCGCACTCGATTTTTAAAAGTATCGATACTGAGTACTCCAAAGAACTCAGTACTCAAGAAAGTACTCAGTACTCACAAAAGAACTCGAAAGTATTCAGTACTCAAAAATACTCTGATCTCAGGATCGATTCAATGTACTCAGGATTAAGTGTCGAATAGGTACTTAAAAGTACTGTGTTTTATTTATATTTACCGGTATTCATCTTCATCTTCATCATTGTCTTTATCCTTGTCTTTTTATTTATCTTTAACTTTGTCCTGTTCTTCATCTTTATCATTGGCTTGATCCTTCAATATAGGTTGTGAGTGTCTGTGGTTTTGTCGTTGCCCTTGTTTTTGTTTCTGCCCTTGTATCTTGCTCTCTGTATTTTCATTACCCACTCCACAGTGGCGTTAAAAGTTCAATGCAGCCAGCCGACCCTATCTATTCACGCATACGCATACATACGCAAAAATTAAGTTTTATTTTCTGAGCAAAAAATAAAACTCAAGAAATAACGATTATTTTCCGAGCAAAAAATAAATCTTAAAACGTAACCATTTTTTTCCGAGCAAAAAATAAAACTTAAAACGTAACCATTATTTTCCGAGCAAAAAATAAAACTTAAAACGTAACGATTATTTTCCGAGCAAAAAATAAAACTTAAAACGTAACCATTATTTTACGAGCAAAAAATAAAACTTAAAACGTAACGATTATTTTCCCGAGCAAAAAAAATACTTAAAAAATAATCGTTATATTTTGAGCAAAAAATAAAACTCAGTTAATAACGATTAAAAAATGATTTTTATAATAAAAGTTATAACCGTTACGGTCCCTGGTTGTAACATGGCCACAAAAATTAATTTCCTTATTTGCATTTGGACTTCTTCCCACATAATTTGGGACAGTTCAGTGATGAACAAGGCGAACACTTTCACAAAGAAGCTACAATTAAAAAAAACATTTTGTAGGAAAAAATAAAATAACAATAATAATAAGGCCAATAACTGTGCCAAGTTTGTGCGAAATTGGTGGAGTGGTTACCAAGATATACACATGTAATCATAAGTGGGCGTGGCTTCGCCCATTTTCCAAAAATTTATAATCTTATTTTTCGCCTCAAAGTCATTGTCCATATCAATTTCGAGTGAATAAGCTCCACTAGTTACCAAAATATCGCAGTTTTCGTATTTCAGAAAACTACTGTTATATGGAAGGTAGGCGTGGTTATTGTCCAATTTTTCCCATTTTCAATACCATCCGTACTACGCTGAAAAGAAAACAACATACCAAGATTCGTTAAGATATCTAAATTTTTACTCGAGTTATCGTGTGCATGGACGGACAGAAAGTCACCGCTTAATCGATTCCTTTTCTCATTATGATCAATTATGTACACATTTGTTTATATCTATCTCGATCCGTTTTGGCTGTTACAAACAACCTTTATGTGAACAAAGTTATAATACCCTTGTGGACAAGTGCGCTTGGGTATAAAAATGATTTCAGGATATTCTACAACGAGAAACTGGTGATGCTGAATTAAGAAAAAAACGGTCAAGAAAACATTTTTGAGTAGTGTAGACAAAAATAATATTTTTGCCAAAAATTTTGTTTTCGTTAAAAGTCTAATAACTCTGTAATCTTTCATCCGATTTTTGAAAATAAACACTAGTTTTTTCGTTATTAAATTTGGTTTTACAATCAATTTAGTACTAGTATGGTTTTCCTATAAAATAGTGTGTAAAAACCTCACCAAAATTGAAAAAAGGCGAAAAAGTAAAAATAAATGTGTTCAGCAAATTTTCATAAAAATTTTCAGCTTTTTAATCAGATTTTTTAGAATTTAGAATTTTCGCGAGTTTTGCACAAAGTTTGGGAATTATATTTTTATGTTTTTTGTTGTTGTATGAACCATATTTTTATACAAAATCGGCGGAAAAATATTAGAATAAAAATTGTTGCATATATTGTGAAAAATTTGCTGTGCCAATACTTTGTTCCGGCAGTGTATATTTATTAAAAATCCTTAATTTAGCTTCGTGAGTATATATAGTCATAAGAATATAACAACTAAGTATTATAAGCCTATGAAAATCTGAGGGCACTTTAAATTGTATACTTATAGTGCCCTTTAAAGTTATTGAATATCGAATTCAAACGCGAATGAATGGAATCCTACCAGTTATCGTGGTCTGTAAATTAAGAAAAATTAGGTAGTTTATAATATTCTTCCTAATATATAATATCATTTATATACTTACAGTATGCTTAATATGCTTGTAGGCATTAAAAAAAGAGGGATAAGGAGCATATTGCGCGAGGGATAATACTCAAACCACACCCCAAAATGCATGCGTATTAGGGTATCAAACTCGCTCGTAATGACAGTACGAGCGGATGGCATCCATCGGGTACCGTAATACATAGGCATGATTGTCATTTCATTTCATTTAAAAAGTATGTCTGCGAAACTTTTCCAACTCAATTTGATGATCTCTGGGAACAATTGTTGCATTCTTACGCTCCTAATAATCTATAACGAAACACAGAAATTGATCCTTCTTTGTGGCTGATAACTTTTATTTCTTTTAGTTTATAATATTTTGTAACTTCTGGATAAGTACAGTATTTTATTTAAAACCATATTTCTCGTAGTCAACTCAATGCTGTTACTTGCGTTAAAACTAGGAATCGTATATCCGTTTGTGTGTATTAAAAATGACAACTTATAGACAACTTCTTTTAACATCAAACAAATTTGTAAATAAAATCTTATTTGTATTTTCGCATTCATAAAATAGCAAACACGTTAATATATTTATTCATTTTCACTTGTCTTTAACTGCATATATATGATCTGGGAGTTCATTGTTAGCAAATCGCTCCCACATTCGGCTGAAAACCATTTCTAATCCTTTAGCATATTGAGAGCAGTCGAACAAAGGACTTTCTACACGAGCTTTCCACACTTTTGCCCTCATCGCTTTCAGGTATTCTCTATCAGTTCCTAATCGAATTGCAACGTCTTCGTATTCTTGTCTCGTGTGTGCTATAAGCTCTGGGCAACCCAAAGTTGCCAACTGTGATGCAGCAACTCTGTAAAACAAAATAAAACAATATATTTATTTATTTATTTATGTCTAACAACTAACCATAGTTATAACAGACATTAATATGATAATTAAATATAACTATCAGTCATTACGCTAAGTTGTTTACTTAAAAATTAATTTAGAAGATTACCTAAGAAACAATTAAAAAAACAATCAAGAATTTGAAACAGGTTAGGAATTACAAGACTTATAACATATTAATGACTGGACTTAAGATATCTTTCCAATTCTAATGTATTTGCTCAAATCTTGTAAAATCTATGCCTAACAAGTTTGAAAAATAATTGAAATCAGATAAGGTTCTGTTTATTGGCGCATTTGCACCATAAATCGTTCTACTTAGCCCAACCGACACAAATTACGGCCAGGAACATACAAATGGATTCTCTCAAGTAAGGACGGGCACTCAATTTTTCCCGAGATAATACCCAATAAAAATGAGAGCCAGAGAAGTTCTGCTGTTATGTAAAGTTGGTAGGCTAATTAGCCGACAACGGGAGACATATGATGGCAATGGTTCAACAAACTTTAATGAACGTAAAACAAAGCGTATAAATACTTTTTGCACCTTTTCTAAACGATTAATATCAACAGTATGACTCGGCCTCCAAATAAACGCAGCATATTCCAATTCTGAACACACAAACGCGGTATAAAGCATCGTAATAATATAAGGGTCGGTGAACTCTGAAGAGTGACGTCTAACAAATGCAAGCATGGCAAATTAGTCAGCAATAGTTTCATTTAAGTGAGAAGTGAAGGTAAGTTTTGAGTCGAAATGTACTCCAGGATCTTTAATCTCACTTAACGAGTTAAGGCAAACATTTATTTATTTTATTTATTTAATTCTTACAGCTTAATTAAGCCTAGCTTAAACTTATATGCATATACATATTTCCCTATATTTATGATCTATAATTTAAAGCCTAGGCAAAGTATAAAGTATACGCCATTTATATGGACACCAACTGCAGTGAAAAGCAATGAGGCATACTTCCAAAACAAACCATTACAATGATTGCACTATTTGGCTGCGGTTGAGCCACCGCGTATGCATGCAAAGTGCGAAACAAGCATCTAAACAGCGATTCACAGATTTGATCTAGTAATGCGTTTTGTGATGAGCCTCGGCTGCTTTTCGGTTGTGTGCGGAAGGGTATATGTTGGCGTAATGCAACACTATACATGGTGCGTATGCATTGCGATTGAAAGTCTGGAAGATTGCCCATGCATCACTAAATAGGAAGGATCCTACAATAATTATAGAATTTTTGTTTAAATTCATTCATATTGCTTGATTTAACATCTTTTGGTAATTCAATAAAGCATCTTAATCCTTTATAATACAAGTTACATTTATCTGCTTCGGTTTTATAAGCAGGTAGTTTGAAATCATTTTTATTTCGAGTATTTTTGGAGTGTACATTATTGACATACTTTATGTTGTTTTTAAGTAATCAGGCATATAATGTTCCTAATAAATTTCATTGTGTAGTAAAAAAGTTGTTGTTTAACACTCAGCCAATTTAATTCGGCCAACATGTCTCTGATGGGTGTGTCATAACATCGCATGGCTCTGTTCTGTTGCTTTTGCAATTTATAAATTTGACTATCTCTCATTATGAAAAAAATAGTTGGACAATAATTAAAATGAGGTTCGATTATAGATCTATATACCATCGTCTTATACCTTCTACTCAAGTATCTGCAGATTCTCTGCGTAAAGTATAATTTTTTTGCGATCTTGCCTACAGTATAATCAATGTGTTCGTTAAAGACTAGTTTATCATCGATCTTTATTCCTAGATATTTGAATGTATTAACTTTTTCCAGTGCTTCGTTGTTTATATTTAGAGTTAGCAACCCACTGTTCTCAGAATTTTGCCTGGATATAACCATAAGCTTAGTTTTATTGACATTCAATTTAAGTCTGTTCAAACATAACCAATCGTATACTTTATTTAAGTCATCTTGCAATTTAGAGGCTATCTCAGCTATATTTTCTCCACTTAGCATAAGCAACGTATCATCAGCAAGTAACTTAATATCGCAATACAGTGAAACCTCCCTTGGGCGGACACTCACCGTCAGTAATTTTTTGTCCGCCCAAGAGAGGTGTCCGCTTAATGGAGGGGAAGCCTGTTATAGAACTTTTTAATGTTTTAATTAATTGAATAGTCACTATTTCTTATTTGAATAAAAGATATTGATATTACATCGTTCAAACAAAAATGTGCATGTATTTTTTTCAAAAATGCACATTTCATTTATGTGCGTAAGTACATATTAAGTAATAACAAAATAAAAATAAATATTACATTTTAGTCCATAAACTACATAAAACCATAGATTCATTACATACAAAACTAGGAAATTGTCGATTGACGTAAGTTTTGTTTTGAATTTTTTTCAGTGTCAGTACCTTTTTCATCAATAGTTTTCATGTTTTTTTCAGTCTCCAAGGGTTTCTGACAATTCAAATAACGAACCTAAACCACTGCGCAAACCAAACTAAATGTGTGCATAACAATCACATTTTGTGCGGGAAGTCCCCTTTTTCCATTTAGTAGTCCGCCTATGAGGAGTTCGCGTCCGCTCAACGGAGGTTTTTGTTTGATTTGTTATGAAAAGAAATCTTAATGTCCGTTGATAAGAGGTTCGCGTCCGCCCAATAGAGTTTTTGTGTCAATTTTATGCAAAATAACTGTCCGCGTCCGGCCAAGAGAGTGTCCGCTTAAGAGAGAGTAATTTGTTCCGAAATTATACTTAAAACTTGGTATAGGAAAAAATGTCCGCCCAATGGAGATGTCCGTCTAATAGAGGTGTCCGTTAGGAGAGGTTTCACTGTACTTTATGCAATTAATAATGTCATTAATATATATATTAAACAAAATTGGAGCTAGCACAGATCCTTGAGGCAGTCCGACAGATACACTGCTTTTATCGGATATTGATGATCCAGTCGCAGTTCTTTGATATCGAGTCGTAATGAAGTTTTCAAACCACTTTAGTTCGATACCATTTACGCCTATATTGAATAACTTTTTTATGCGATAGAATAAATGTTGATTTTCAACACTCAATGCCTGACAAGCTGCGATTGAAGATCAGCCGAGTCATTTGTGCATCTAATTTCAGAATATATTTTCAAGTCATCAGCAAACAGAAGAAAACTAGCATTCGAAAGATAGGAACTGATGTCCTTGATAAATTGTACGAAAAATAGTGGGCCCAAGATGCTTCCTCGTGGGACACCTGAGAGAGCAAAAAAAAAGTAAGTGTGCCTGGGCCACACTGTAGAAGTGAAACTTACGTTACTTATCTATCTATACATACACACATCTGCTTTTGCTTAAGGTTATATTTTTTCGCTTTTTTTCTATCAATGTAGATCCCTACCTCTACCACTGTTCGTTTTAACAACATTCATGTTATTCTGTTTTCCGTTATCTTCATTTTTATCATTATACTCTATCGATAACAAAATCGATTATAACGTCCATCAAAATAGCGATACCATAATCTATGACAAATTCGGTAAAAATTTCAAAAGCAACATCGATAATACTATTGGTAGCTAAATCGATAAAAATATCGATAACAAAATCGATAAATATCGATAACAAAATCGATCTATATCGATAACAAAATCGATAACAATACCAATATATATCGATAACAAATTCGATAAATATCGATAACAAAATCGATAAATATCGATAACAAAATCGGATAAATATCGATAACAAAATTGATAAATATCGCTAACAAAGTCGACAAATATCGATAACAAAATCGATAATTATCGATAACAAAATCGATGAATATCGATAACAAAATCGGTTAATATCGATAACAAATCGATAAATATCGATAACAAAACCGATAAAAATATCGATTATTTTATCGATAGGTGTCGATAGGTGTAGATTGAGTCTCTGTGTCTCTCTCTATATCCTTTCCTCTTTAGTTACCTCTATTTTAATCTTTCTTCCCCTATCTTCATCTTTGCTTTTATCGGTATCCTCATCCTCCTCTTTGTCTTTGCTTCTATGTTCATCATTTTTTTAGCTACATATTCCCCTTCACATTTGTTCTTATATATATAAGTAAAGTGTTTAGATTTACCTTCGTCTTCATTTTTGCCTTTATCTTTACGCATCTTTGTTTTTGTTGTTATTTTTACGTTTGCCTTTATCCTATTCTTCATTTGTGTATGTAGTCACCTTTAATTTCACTCTTGTATTGGTCTTTTTCTAAGTGTTATTCTTTAACCTTTTGTTAGCAAATTTTTGTTAAATTTATACCATATGCATACACATAAGAAGCACTTGTTTCAGCCCCAACCATTTCCGTTGCACCATTTCCGTTGCATCATTTCTGTTGCATTATTTCCGATGCATATACACAATAAGTACTTGTTTCAGCCCCAATCATTTCCGTTGCACCATTTCCGTCCCAACCAGATCCGTGTGCAATTTCCGCTGAATTTGCCAATTTACTCCCAACCAACCAACCGCCGCTAAAGAAGTTTCACTTCAAAAATCTTATACGAAACGCCGTCGATAACCACCGTACTAGATCTCAAGCGTACGTAAGACCTGATCCACTCCAAGAAGACCGAGTGGATACCCATACATTCTAATTTAGTCAGTAAAATATTGTGGCATATGTTGTCGAAGGCTTTCGAAAAGTTTGCGTAGATCACATCAAGTTGAAATCCATTACGAAAAGTTTAAAAACAATCCTCAGTAAAAACTCCGAGGTGAGTCACCGTGGATCTGCCCGATACAAAGCCGTGCCGATTAGGATAGATGAAATGTTTGGCATTAAAATAAAGTTTGGGTTTGATGATGTGTTCGAATATTTTAGCAACTGTGGACAATTTACTAATCCTTACTAATATTATAAATCGGAAAGTGAGTTTGTTTGTTTGCTACGCTTTCACGCTTTAACTATTCAACCGATCATAATGAAATTTTG